TAATTAATATTCATATAATTAATTTGCATTTTTACTAATTGTTTATGTTTGTTAATTCAACATCAATATATTTAAATTTCTGAACATAACTCATAACAAAGAAATAAATAAGTTATAATTAAATAATAATTCATATTCAATAAGGATTTAAATTTTTAATAAAAATAAGGATTTTTATTAAAGTAAATAAATGCCTATTGAAATCAAAGAATAATGAACGAAGTAGATCACATAATTAAGAATCACTCGTTCAAAGCATATAAAAGTATATATAAATATACTAAAATCGCAGAGGAATCTTTACATGCTCTTTATTAATTTGTTTATTCAGTACTCTGGCAAGGTCACCAAGCATCCAGTTAATAAAACATTAATAAAAGACTTTACTAACTTTTTTGAGGAATTACATAATGACAGTGGCTTATTTAAAGAATTGCTGTGCGTGCATCACTTATTAATTGATTATTCATTGACCTTTCTAGAGTATTAAACAAACAAATTAACAAAGGATATGTAGAAAAAGCTATACATATTTTATTTAAAATAAAATTAATTATTACGTAAATTATTTATCTTTGCTAATTAATATTAAATATTAATTCTATTATTTATTATTTAAGTTAATTTACACAGTATCCTATAAATGTATTTTTAACAATTCATTTTTGGTTTTTTACAAAAATAAAATAATATATATTATAAAAAAAAATTTATTTTTTTTTATTAAAATTTTTTTTTTAAGTTATTGTCTGATTTATTAATTTCCTATTTAATGACTTTGTGAGAGTATTGAGTAAACAAATTAATAAAGAATACATAGAGTTATTCTTACTAAATGAATTTTAGTTTAATTTTAAATAACATAAACATGTAAATTGTATTTATATAGTCTACTTTATTGAGGAATTATTTCTAAGAGGAATCTATTTACTTCAATAAAAATCCTTTTTTTTATTAAAAATTTAAATATTCACTAATTATTGATTTTTAATTACATATATTTTATTTACAATGTTATGATTAATGGTTAGTAATTCAAATCTGTTGTTTTCAAATTAGCAAACATAAATAATTAACCAAATAAATAATTAATTATATTAATACTACAAAACACGAAAATTTTATTACAGTCAATATAAAATTTTCTTATATAAATTTAAACAAAAATCTTTTATAAAAGAAACTTTTTAGTCAACTTTTTCTTCTGGTTTTCAACTATTTGAATCATTTTTAAAAAAAATAAAAATATGTTTTAGTATTTTTAATTACAAAATGAAAAAAAATATTAACTAATTTTTTTTTTTTATTTAGCTCTTGCGTGGCTAAATATTCACATTCCATGCAGCCAATGCTTTTTATTCTCAAAAAGATTAATAATACCTTTTATTAACCAGAATTATAAACCTGGAAAAAAATAAAAGTTTTTTTATTTTTTATAATTGTAAGTAACTGAATAAAAAAAATAATATAAAATAGTATATATTTTTTTTCTTTTAGTGTTCTTACTTTTAGTGTAATTTTTTTTTTTTTTTTTATCAATTAAATAGATAATAATCGACAATTCTAGATATAATAAAATAAATATCGAAAATAAAAATTTAGTTAAATTTCATGTGGAAACTTACATTCTCTTTCCTTTTATAATGAATTTAATCCTTTTTTTTTTTTTAAATAATTATATTTTATTAAATGTAAATATTTTTCTTTTAAATATATGTAAAAAGAAAAAAAATATGATACTACATAAATTTAATATGTTTTTTAATATATAAATTATGAAATAAATATGATTATATCTCAGGAAACATATACTTCTAAAAAACAAATATGAAAAAATTTAATATATCTATTTATTAAAAATCATCCTTAGCATATATTTATTTTTGAGAAAACAGAATAAATAAATATAGAAGGAAATAAAGTAATTTCAAAGAAATTTGAAAAATATTTATATAAACGAAGGCTTTTAAACTTCTAATTCTATTTGTTCATGAAGAAAAAGAAAATATTAGTAAATTTGCTAACAGTTTAAAAAAATATAAATGTAATCAAAATTTCCTGTTTTCATATGTATTTTGAGACTATGAGATACTTAAAATTTGGTAACAGTAATACATTTATGGGAAATATGAAATATCATAAAATAAAAATTTTATATGGCATAAGGTAAAAGTGATAAAATGTTTGAAATATGTTAACGTATTATTTATGGTAATAAAACAGTGAAATATTTCTCACTTTAATAAACAAATATATTATAAAATAAAGTTTATATTTGAGATAAAAACTTTAAATTACATAATGTCAAAGATAAAAAAAAAAATATGATTATGAAAAATCAGAATTTTAAAGTAACAATTTTAACTAATAATATTTTAATATTAATAATCAAATGATATGGCATCATATAAAAAAAATAGGAAACAATGTCTATTTATTAAAATTAGGATTGGTAATGAGTCATGTTTTTTTATTCCTGTTAATTTTCCTAAATGAATGTTCTTTAAAATCCTCAAAATAATAACTTCTTTTTTTGCCACAATTTGCTAGATTATTAATGTGTAAGAAAAAAAAATATAACATTAAAAAATTTATTCTACATATTAATTATGGAATTCAAATATATATATTTTTTTTTTTAAATTCTTTTGAACTATGTTTATTCATGTTTTCTCCTACATAAATATTATTTTTTTTAATTTTAACAATATTTAAAATTCTTCTTTTTAATTCTACATATACATATATATATATGTATATGCATGCATTTTTTTTTTTTTTTGAATTATTTTCACTTAAGTTCCGTAAAATAACTTCATTTAATATTTGATATATTTATTGTAACAATACTTGTTACTAAAATATCCTATTAACTTTTTTACGTTACTATAATTTTGAGAAATAGAATAAGTGGAATTAATGATTCATATAAAATTCTAAAGTATTAATTAAATATTTATTTTAAAAGGTAATCATATAATTAACATGATCCAAATTAGATGAATGTAACATTTCTAAAAAAAAAAAAAAGTTTTAATTTTTTTATGTATATATATAAAAAATTCTCTTTTTATGATGATTTCAACATTCTTGAATGCAAGATAAAGTAGATGAATTATATTAATAAAGTAGAACAAATGAATATATTATAGCATAATTCTTTTAAAAAATATTATGTCTTTATATTATGCTTTTGTTTATTTTATATTTACAACTCATTTTAAGATGTATGTAGTAGTAATAAATAAACTAATAATTAATGTTTACTTTAAAATTAATTATAAAAATATATAACATACAATTTAATGAACTAGTACTATCTATTAAGCAAGAAAATATTTACGAAAAACATAACCATGTTTTTGGTAGATCTAGTATTATTTTTTTATATTCAATTTGATAAAGATTTATATGTATTGTAAATAATCCATATTTCAATTACAAATTAAATATTTTTATTTTAATAATAAATTAAAGATCTTTAGTTTCATATTAAGTAAAAAATTATTATTCCTATAAAAATAAAAAGAATAATTGAAAGTCAAAAGCTTAATTATTATATATAAAAATCTTAGTTGGGTGATAAAAAAAAGTGAAATATAAATAAAATGATCCATGATTTTTAGGTTAAGTATCATAATAAATGAAATAAACAAAATATTTTGTGCGTTAAATAAGTTTTATATATAAATGATTAACAATAAGTTACTTTAAATGTACTCGTATAGAGTTTAACAAGTTATGGTTATAAATAAATACGTGTGATAATAAATCCCTGTTTATCTGAATAGAAAATTTTTCGATAAAATAAAAATATAATTGATAATGATGTTAAACTAATAATCACAAGTGTAAACTACAACATAATCACAAATCTTGTTTTCATTATGAATTCAAACTAAAAACAAAAATATATCATATTTAATAAATTATAATTAAAAAGGAATAAAATATATTTTTATGTTAATTTTTACGATATATTTTAAATTAACTATGATACTATGTAAATTCTTAAAAAGAATTTTTTTTTTTTTTTTTTTGTAAAAAAATACTTGATAGTATAATGATTTCTTTTATTATGGGATATAAATTGTTATGCTCAAATAATTTATAATTTTTTTTTAAAATGAATATTTACTTTTTAATTTATTTGATTCTTAAAAATATTTCCTAATTTAAAGCATCATTTGAAAAATTCAATAACAAATATTATAATTGTAAAAAATATATATATAATTTTTATTATTCCTTTTTTAAAAAAGTGAATAAAATTATTTTCTGTTATAAACTGACTTTAATTCTTCAAATGAAAATATTACATGAAAAAAAAAAAATAAATACATAAATTGACAATTAAAAATATTTAGATGTAGATTTACAGTTATCATTATTTCCTAATTAAGATATCTTAAAAATTTAATTTGGCATGAAATGGTATAAAATTTTTAAAGATTTATATTTTAATATTTTTTAAATTTTTAATTTTAAGAAATTTAATAATTATTGAAAGAATAAAGCAATTGAAGAAATAACAAAATATTTTGAAAATATTAGTTTATATTATTTTTTTGTTTTTGTTAAATATATTAGTTATAATTTGATAAAATAATATATATATATATACATTTATTTTTGTTTATTATTTTATTTTTTTTTTTTTTTTGTTTATTTATTTATTTATTTAATTATTTATGTATTCATTTATTTATTTATTTTTTTATTTATTTATTTATATATATATTTATTTATTTTTGTTCATTTATTTATTTATACGTAAATTGAAGGTTTTCTAAATACATCATAATTTAGGCATGTTTAAAAGTATTATTCTTTTAAAATAAGAAATGTATATGTTAATAAGAGGAAGTAAGGAATATTTTGAAAGTTTTAAAATGACTAAATTAATTGTAATGGGAAAATATGTCATTTTATAATAAAAAAAATTCAGTTTACTTCTTTTGAAAAAAAAAAATTTAAAAAAAAGAGTTCCCTTTATTAATATGAAAATAGTAAGAATATAAATCTAAACATACTTTTGAATAATTTTTTATATTTAATTGTTTCCTAAATATGGAAATGTTAAATCAAACTTTAAATGAAAAGTCAATTAATTCTTTTTTATAATTTTTTAGTAATAAATTCTTGAATCATATAAAGATGAGTTTTTTATTATTTGTTTTTGCTTTTTAATTCTTTGCAGATCAAAATAATAAGTATTTGCCTATATAGTATTAACCAATATTATAACTTGAAGAAGTAATTAATTTCATTTTTATGAAAAAAATGTAGTTTTTAGTAATTTTTGTAATTCTTTTTATATATTTTCAGATATAAACTTAAATATATAAAATATCCAGAAATAAAATTGATAAGAAAATTAGCTGAGTTGTTTGATATTAAAGATGAAGATATTATAAATGATTCAGGTTTTTCAATAAAGGAGGTGCAATTATTGCATAATTTAAATGATACAAGATATGAAGACACACCAGTTAAAGGACACTTTGAAGATCCAAGAGAATTAATTATAAAACTAATAGATATGCTATTTTTAGATAATTATAAAAAATGTATGGAAAAACATAAAACGTATGTTAATCATACATATAGGACGCTAGAGTCTTTAAGAAAAGAATCGTTAACATTTTTCCAATCTTCACTTGCAAACGCAAAAAAACATATAAAAACAATATTCATGGATCATCAAATAAATAGAGATGAATTATATATGTATGAAGGTTTGGATGTTGTTTTACAATATGATGAAGTGAATACACGCGTATTTATTAATAGAATGGATGCATTCAAATATTTAGATAAGATGAGATTTAATAGAGAACTTTCTTTTAATGTAGAAGAAATGTTGCAATATTTTGCTAAATTACTTGAGAAGAACCAAAAACGTTTACATAATTTTGGTGAAAAAATTTACCTCATCGATAAATATATTAGTACTCATTTAGGTTTAAGAGCAAATAGGTTTCCTTTGAAATATACTTCTGGTAGACATAGAGAAGTTACTGTTTTAAATAATTATATGGACAATTCTGTGAAAGAATTGCATAATAAAATATTTGGTGATAAAAAAGAAAAAATAATTAAGTCAAAAACTTCCTTCAAAGTAGATGTTAAGTATTTGAGTTCATTCTTTCAAGATTCAATTTTAATATTAGATTTTAATATAAATGAAAGCGTACATACATTATTTGTAAAACTAAATAAGATATTAAAAGGAGATATAAAATGTTTGATAACCTTTATTTCATACATATTTGAAATAGAAAGATCTAGAAATAAGTTTATATTAGATAATATAAAAAGTAAAATTGATGAAAAATTATTTATGAATATGTTTTTATATGATATATATGATTTATATTTACAAGAAGAAAAAGATATAATAAATTCCAGAAATATATTTAAAGAATTTATAAAAACTACTTATGGTTTTGACATAGACAGTTCAAGTATTAAATCATTAGTAAACAAACTTTATGGATCAATTAATAGTACGGAAATTTTGGAATTATTTGATTATATTGTAAAAATATTATTATACAAGAAACAAATAGAAGAATATTTAAATTTCACAAATTTTCTTAAAGAAGTATCGGAAGAAAATATGTCGAAAATGAAAAAATTTATGCGATATGTATTTAAATGGGGTGAAGGGATTGCATATATTCCAAAGAATAGTTCTCATCGTGTAGTATCACAATTTTTGCAAATTTATGAAAAAAATCATTTTTTTAATAATTTGTATCGTATCAATCAACCGTTAAAATTGTCTTTAAAAGCATCAAAAGATCTTATATTGAGATATACAGTATTAAGTGACCTATTATATTTTTTAAATAAAGAGTTAGTTAGATTAAGAAATTCTTCTTATATCTCAGAAGAAGAAAAAAAACAAAATGAAAATACAATTTTATTTTTTATGTATACAATTAACAAGTTCAATGAACAAGGCATTTTATTTCAAAATTAATGTTATAACTATTTAATAATTGTAAATCGGTATATAAATAATATTATAGACCTTTTTTATAATATATAGATGAACAGATAAAATAAAGACACTTTATTTTGTGCATTATAAATTGGGGGGACGATGTGCAATCATATACATATACACTGAGATAATTATTCAAAAAGTATGTAGGCTAGAAAAAAAAATAAATTATTATTTTTTTTTTTGTGTTTGTATTTACAATTAAAAAAAAATAATAATAACATATATATATATATTTTTTATTTTGGAATATGACAATGACTTAAAATTTTAAAAAATGTAATTTAAAAAAAAAAAAATTTTTTTTTTTTGATGGAGCATTATGCGCAAATTACTATGGATTATATTTTAAGTTAAAATGTAATATTAAGGAAATTAAATTTTGAAATGTGTAAATTAACTTAAAAAAAAAAATAATCTAATAAGTAGTGCTTGATTTTGACTAATAAAAATAAAGACTTTAAATTAAAATTTTAATTAAATAAGAATCAAATTAAACAAAGTATGCTCTATATGCTCCTTATTAGTTTGTTAGTTCAATAACTTTACTAGTATTGAACTAACAATTAATAAATCATTTAGAGACAGTTATAGGATTATCAAATGGAGGCTTAAGCAAGCAAAACTCTGTTTATTTCAAGTCTAACAATGGAAAAATAGTTATTAACCTTTGGACTAAATGTATTATTTGAAATAGTATATTTTAACCAATCGTATCAATTTAAAATTAGAAAAAATGATGATACAATTAAAGTTAAAATACCAGATCTTTCGAAATTTAATGAAAAATCTTTAAAAAAATATTTTATATGGTTTATGATATTTGAGGATAAGGCTGAAATGTTAGGGATAACTAAACTGGAAGTATATATTATAATGGAACATTTAGTACCAAAAATGTTTATATAGGGGATGCATAATTTGACATTAAATAATAAAATATTTAACATGTTACATTTGCAAATTAAAATGGCTAAATTATTTTTCAAAGATGCAGAAGAGAATTTCTTTAAAATGATAAGATTATGTATTGCTGAAGGAAAAAAGAGTATACAAGAATCTATTAATTCATATATTGAAGATTTTATTGCACATACATTTAGTTTATTATGTTTTAATGAAGCGAATAGTGTTAGTAAATAAGATCTTTAGAGGTACTTTATGAGATATATCTCTGATTGATATTAAAATAAAAAAAATTTTAACTTTCAATAGAATAAAAAATTTTGATTTGTTATGTCATCATTAATTTTGGAAAAAAGAGTTAGAAGATTGCATGAAAAATGAGATGCATGTGTATTTTCTCCTGATAAATTTAATAAAGAAACTAACTTTTTATACAGGTTTCAAAATAAGATCACTAAATATTATTTTTGTGGAAAAAAAGGCCACCTTAAAAAGTATTGTATACATCTGAAGAAAAGATATAATAATTGCAAGATGATAAGTTATTTGGCATCAGTATATAAAAATAAAGTAGTTAAATATAAAATAATAAGAAATTAGAGGTATAATAACGGATAAAAGTTATGTTAATTTTAAGTTTAAAATGAAAATGATTTGAAAAAAAATTACATTGAATAGATAAGAGAAAATTGAAAAATAGAAAGAATGATTAAAAGAAAAATATCATAATAAGAAACCAAAAGAGAGAAATGAAAAATTTTGTAAGAAAAAGGAATAGAATTAATAATATATGTAAAGATGAAGAATTACATAAAATAATAGATCAAGAAGATATTGAAGAAATGAGAAAAAGTGAATGATCTCTTAATAAATTACAAAGCAATGAAAATAAAATAGGATTTTGTGTAAATTTCAAACAAATAGTTAAAATAAATGTAAGAAATGTGTATTTTTTTAGTGGATACCGAAGTTAGGTTGTGTACTATATTTAATTCATCAACCAACGAAATTGAAGTAAATCCATATTTAAGTGTTTCACCTATTAATGTATATGTAAATTTCAATGGAGAGAAATCATATAAAACGAAAGAAGCTGTAATTAGTATGAAATCTACAAATACATAGGCTAAAACAAGATTTGTTATAGCAAATATAGAAAAACCATTTATTTTAATTAGTGGTATAATAATGAATTAGGATATTTCATTATGAAGAATAATTAAAATTATATATAATAGAAGTCAACAATGATAAAAAAAAGAGTCAAGAAAGTACTAATCAAGAATATATTCAAAATTTTATTAACATTGGAAAAGTATATAGGTGGATATTAAGCTTATCAGAATTTAAATTGAAAATTGAACACATTGAAAGAATTTAAAATAGTCTATCTGATTGAATAACTAGGTTAATAAATGATTATACTTATCTTCCTAGTTATATGACTTTATTTCTTAATTAACGACTAGAAAATTATGAAAACTTTTATTTTATTCCATCTTGACAAGAAATAGCTGATGCGATGCAAGAAAGGAATAATATTCTGACAAATGTAATATATAGAAATAATTTTTTTATTCATTATAAAAAAGTATGGTTATATATACAAGAAAGATATAAGTTTCATTTGATATATACTGGTTTCATAGTAGTAAGTTTGCCGGACATTGTGGACCCAAAATATGGAAAGGAAAGAAATATTATATTCAAGTGGTCGTACATCGTTAATAACAGTTAATATTAACTAATGTTATTACATGGACATCTAGTGGTAATAATGCAACTCCTATGATGAGAAACAATTGGATTCCTATATTTGGATATCCTAGAAGTATTGCTTTTAATTACTGTTCCATTTACATAAGTCAAGAATTTCATAAGTACATTAAAGAAGAATTACAAATAAAATTATACCACACAAGTGCCCATTATACTCAGTTGAGTGGTATTAATAAAAGATTTCATAAAAATCTCGTTTACATACGTAAGACCATGTATGAGAAAAGGTATGTATCTATTGAAGAAATAGTAAAAAATGCAAAATTAATATATAATAATTCACCTCACTGAGTACTAAGAGAAACACCAAATTTTACTATATTGGGAATGTATTATATATATTATTGTTTTTTAGGATTATAACCTGGAAATACTTTAGAAATGAGAACAATTTATTTTAATAGTAGACAGAAACAGTGTGAGAAAATATGAATCAATTGAAGAAGCCATTAATACCAACTAAGTGTATTAATGTTGGTAATATTATTTCATACAAGTTATCAGACTATTAAAGGAACCAATTAAAGCATTGTAGTGACAATAATCAGCATAAATCTTATTGATCTTTAGCACACAAAATAATCAAAATATAAATTGGAAGACTAATAACCGTACCAATATATTGCAAAGTTAAAGAGATTTAAATTTCACTTTTTAAAATTAAAATGTTAGGTAATAAGACTAGAAAAATATATGAAATTCAGTTAAGAAATTTGATACAAGTTACTGAAAAGAATAAGAAAAAGTTTGAACTTATACGTTAATTAAAATTTAAAAACTCCTCTAATATTCATAAGAGAGATATTGCAAAACTTGAATTAAATGATAATGAAGACAATAAAATAAATAAAATGATACAAAAAGGGCCCTAAATTGTAAAGTAAATATGAGATGATATAATAAAATATGTCATTATTTTTCCCAAGGTGATGGAGTAATGTCTGCAAATAACATTATAGATCTCTTTTATATAATATTTATATGAATAAATAGAATAAAAACATTTTATTTTGTTCATGCTAAATCGCGGAGATAATATACAATCATAAATACGTACGCTAAAATAGTTACTAAAAAAATATGTTTACATAAAAAAGTAAAATATTTTATACTAAGAGTGCACTAAAAAATATGTTAATAATAATTATTCTTTTTTTTTTTTCGTATTTAAAATTGAAAAAAAAAAAATATATCATATATATATATATATATTTTTTTTTTGACAAATATATGGACTGCTATGGAGTGTTTATTTTTTTTTTTTAATTGAAATGTAATAACAAAGATATTACATTTTAAATTATTGTGTAAATTAACTTAAAAAAAAAAATTAACTAATAAGTAATATTTGATGTTTATTAAAAAAAATAAAAATTTTAAATTAAGATTTTAATTAAATTCAAATTGAGTTGAGTTTACAGACTCTTTGTTAATTTATCTGTTTGTTACTAGAAGAGTCAATGAATAGGTAATTAATAAATTATCTATTTATAAAACAGTTTAATGGTTTATTTATTAAAATTAAATTTAAACTCATTATATTAGTAAAGATAACTTTACATGCTTATTATTAATCTATTTATTCATTACTCTCGCAAAGTCAATAGGTAATTAATAAATCAAATATAAAGAATTACATATTTTTATGTACATAAAAACATTTTCCATTATGTTTTAATATTGTGTAAAACTAGTTTATAATTCAAATAAAAATGCATTAAGTATAAATATCCCACGCTTGGATATTACAAGTCCATTTTATTACTTACTATTTTTATTTAGTGCTATATTTCATAATTCAATTTTAAGATTTATTTTTTAAAATCGTTTAGTATCACAGAACGATTGAAATACATGTTTCGTATGTGACAAACATACAAATAATCTAACATATATCTATTTGAATACCAAGGATATACAGAGATTCTCCATTAGCCATCTTTTTACAAACTAACATCGTAATTGCATTTTGCATCATTAACTTATTAATTTCCATTTCATTCTTTTTATTATCTACTTCCATTAAAATTTCAATACTCAAATTCCTTGGTTTATATATACGTTTTTCTTACACCTCAATAAAAACCTTATATTTACTTGAAACTCCTTTCATCCTATTTTCCCATAGTAATGCATTGAATTTCAACTACCTCCTTAATTCAACCTTATTTCTCTGAGATACTATATTAGTTTTGTTGTTAAAATATTCGATAATTTCTTGATAAGACATTGCTGTGTTTTTTTCCTTGTTAAATTTAACTTCCACCACATATTTATATATAATTTTCATT